TGGATTCAGGAGACAGACACTATCTCTACTTTCAAGATTAGGCTTCAAACTTTCCTTTTTGCTAAAGCATATAGTTAGGGCTGGACCAGGTGACCCTGAATCCTTCCTTAGTTATGCTGCAATAGGTGTAGGCTGCCGGGGGTTCCCATGATGCACTGGGTGTTTCTACCTCACTCACTATGTATTAACAGACCTCTCTGCACTGAATCATATCTGTTATTAACCTCTGTCTCTCTTCCACAGCATGTCTTTATCCTGTCTTCCTTCTCTCACATCAACCAATCACAGGAGATGGCCCCGCCCCTCCCTGAGGCTGGTTCTGCTGGAGGTTTCTTCCTGTTAAAAGGGAGTTTTTCCTTCCCACTGTCGCCAAAGTGCTGCTCACAGGGGTCATATGATTGTTGGGTTTTTCTCTGCATGTAGTATTGTAGGGTCGACCTTACAGTATAAAGAACCTTGAGGTGACTGTTGTTGTGATTTGGGGCTGTGTAAATAAAACTGAACAGAACTGAATAAGCTGTTCTGTTTATTTAGAAAAAGACACGCAGGTCTACACTTGAATGCATGAATTTTTAGAATAGTTTCACATGTGGTCAGATTGCTTGTATTTGTGTGTGGATTGAAGTGTGTGCTAATGAAAAGTTGCACACAAATTATTGTACACATTTATAAATGTTAGTTTACGCTTGTGGATCGTATTGTACACAGAAGCAAATTTCTCTCCATACAGTGAAGATATAGAAAAGCAGCTCACACAAGCCCACCTCAGTGAACCAAACTGTATTCAGAGCCTTGGCTCATATGTTCAGCATTCGCTGTAAATCTGGTGAACAGCTCAGAAAAGACAAATATGAAGCTAATCTAAATGTCCAGTATTTAACCTGCTGGGCTCAGGTACATGTCAAATATGGACGAGTTCAGAATTAAGAGCAGCAAATAAATTAGAAAACTACATTTTAAAAAAACAATATGCTGTATTATATACATTTAACTCTGCGAGCAGACAGCATTTAATGGCCTCTTTCTGCTGTCACCTTTTCCAAACTGATGCCTTGCAGTCAGAAAGTCCCACATGCTGCTGGGGAGAGTCAGCACTCCTCTGATGTATTCAGAACCATACATCATGCTACTAATGACTACTTTTGGAATGATTTAAAGTTCTACGAAGTAACAGGAAGTAATGCGACTGTTATAGAGCTGTGAAGCTCTTCTGGGTGCACTGTGGAATCTGCAGACATAACTTTTCTGGAAAAAGGAAAATCGATTTTACAAGTTTTATTTTTCTTTTCTAAATAATCCTTTCAAACCTCCACATCATGGGGTTGATGCGCATCACCTAGATGATGACCATAAAGGAGCCCAACCTGCCAGCACAACTCAATAAAACCAAACAAAGGAAAGAATAAAGTTCAAAGCTCAGAGCTTATTTTCCTAGTGTGTTAGGTCGGCAGATAAGGCTGAGCAGTGATGTCATGCGCACCGAGTGGAGCTGATTGGAAAAACGCTGAAACTGTCATTTGATTTCAATTAGAATCACAATTTGAACGTGTTGCCAGTCTATGCTTCATATTTAAGTTGGCACAATAGCAAACACGCTTTGAGGTCGGCAAAGTATTTTCCACGAGCCCGTGACGTGGCCATGACTTTCCCCGAGAGGAGCAGCAGCACAGAGGCTGCCGTCGTGCGGCAGCAGCTGGGACTTTCAGACTCGGGCCGGTTGTCAGGCCTGAACCTCAGTGATGAAACTAAACTAAAACAAGAGTGCAGTTTGTTTGTTTTTAATGTGTCATTGTCGTGGCGCCAAAGAGCCCTCAGACCACACAATCAGCCCTGCTTTTTGTTAGTGCGAGTGCGACCCCCCAGAGTTTGGGGGTACTGTAGTCCCCCCACCCCCCGTCTGTCCATGGCCTCTCCTGCCGTGGCCCAGGATACAGTGAGCGCTGCCGCAGCCTTCGTCGTCGTCGTCTCCCTCGCTCTCGGAGGAAGATTCTCCAAACTGTCGGGGCTTCTCGTAAATGCAGCAGCCTGAAACACAACAAGCAGCTCATGATGCCACAGGCTCAGATGAAGCTCCAAGTTCGTCATTTCAAAATTAAAAATACTTCAGAAACAGTAACTGCAGGAGCGTGTGATTAAACACATACTGTGTCTTTGATGTAGTAAGTGTGCAGAAGGCGGATGCTGAGGCAGGAGACCGTGGTCTACTCAGGGCTTTAGCTGCATTTTAGTGCATGTTACACATGTGCACGGTACTGAGAAAGATTAAGGCTATTAAAATTAATTAGCTGAGCCTCGATTATGTCATGAGGAAAGTAATGAGATGCAATGCACCGTGATACGCTGAAGCACGTTCGGTACAGCTACTACTTGTTGTAATTACTTCATGCGTGTCATATACTGCAGTTAAACAGGAAAACCACGTGTACTGTACAGTCACTCGTGGTGCGCAGGTGTATATGGTCCAGGCTTTATAAATAAGTGTGCGTCATTTGACTGAGTACAGTCTCTGCTGTGGACACACAGTTTCAACCATGCTGAGGGGAAATTAATGATACAAAAATAAATAAATAAAAAGAATCATATGGAAAGCAGGGGTGCAGCGCGGCAGTACTAACGGTGCTGGGCAGCATAGCCAGTGTACTTTGTTGTCATTCCAAACTGGTTTTTCTTTTTCTTGCTTTCTTTCCTGATAATAAAACCACACAGTTCAGAGGAAAATGTCCAAATCGAGTTTCTTTCCAGGACAAACTTCATGAAACAGCTTTTTCAGGACTGACTCTGCAGCCCGGTGCCAAATATCCCATTGTTCCACACTCAGCATAAGAGTAAAATATCAGCTGTGTTGTTTTTGTGATTTCGTTTTAATTGTTTTATGACGACTTTCAATTATTTCATATTCTGCAGAATCCCAACACTGGACGCCCACAGAAAATCCCACTGAGAACAACCACCCCACTGTGAAACCACCACAGTCATAAAATATACCACAGTGCAAGTTTTGCCACTGAACCTAAACAGTAAAAGAAAAAGTGCATCCAATACGTTTGCATTTGTTCCTCCTAAAACGTGACAGAGCAAAACACTGAAAACTGGTGGCAGACATATTTGAAATGCTTAATTACATTTCTCAGCCTGTGTGCTACGGAGAAAGATAAACTCACACTTTGAAGACCTTCTTCCCAAATGCTCGTTGTCGACAGTGTCACTGGACCACTCCACCTTCTTCTCAGTCTTCCTCTTCCTCAACTTGATTGTCAAGCTTCGTCCCTCCTGTAACATGTAAGAGGTCTACTGTGAGACATCGCAAACAACCCACAGTGTGAACTGTGACCTGCAGGCACACTCAATGACATCTATCATTTGTAGGACCTTCTTGTTGTCTCTATGGTGTCATGGGCATGCTATTGTGTCCTGCTCTCTGAAAAGTAAAACATGTCCTTGCTCAGGTGATGGAGCAGGTCACCTACTAATCAGAGGGTTGCTGGTTTGATCCCTGTCTGCTGCAGATACTAACCCCAAGGACTTATTCCTCTGATGTATCAGACTCTAAATGTGTATGGATGTTAGACAGATACAAGTGCTAATTGGCTAAGTTGTGGAAAGTGCTTTGACTGCTCAGAGCAGAAGCGTCTATATAAGAACCAGTCTACGTACCATGACCATCAGTTAGGCAAATTCTGATAATATTTTAAAGGAATAAATTGCAACTATTGAAATACTTCTAACTATGACAACATCTGCAGTAAACGGTCTGCATCAGTAGGAGATTTGTGTAAAATGATACACAAAGTATGTTGTAGCCAAACACGAGTATGCCTCTTAAATCCTTTAAGACTTCTTCTTATTTAAAAGTCAAACATGACTATGCAAATATTTAAAAAGAAATAAAAATGCGCAACAAATTATAAAAAAGTCGAGCCGTGAGGGTTGGGAGGGGTTAATAACAAACTATTAAAGAGCACCTGCCTCAGAAATGACACAAAGCTGGGGTTACCGGGCGTGTACGATCCCTTTGCCCCGTGGTGCCTACAGATGGGCCTGTCTGCGCTGCATCTAAACCCATTCTAACCGACTATGGGGATTTCAGTTAATGGAGGTCTGACTGTTTATCTGAGCAGGACAACTTGAAATATGATTTGAACAGAGTGTATTTAACATGTAAACCGGATGCTCCTGCTGCTTTAGACATTATGCAACAATACTACAGATTCGGGTTGTTAATTGAAAGCTGTTTAACTTTCACACAGCAACGCGGAGCTATTCAGCACTTAGCCCGCTATCGGCTTTCCATAATGCTACCGCGCTACTAGCAGCCCTGACATTTAAATAAGCCTAACGTAACTAACATATCAGGCCTCACGAAGCTTCCCCCGTAATAACATGAACGCTGTATCTTTAATGTACGCTGTCACTGGCTGCCAGAGCGGTCCAACTGTCTCACGAACAGCTGTCCATCGTTTACCTGCTGGGGCGGCGGCGGCGTGCTCGTCTGAACGGTCTCCGTTATGGTCTCACTGGATGTTCCTGGAACCTCCGCCATCCCTGCAGCTGCTTTGCTAACGCTACCGTTAACTAGCTTAAAGATCCAAAAGAAACGAAGCAGAGCGTCAACAATGAGCGACACCGCGTTAGTCGACAGCTAACCGACTAACCTTCCGCTCTTTAACTCCAAAAATCGCACTGAATGGAAAAATGTCAACCCACAGTTACGAGGTGTGGGACAGCGGTGGCTACAGTCAAAGCACAAAACGCGTTAGCCAGGGTCGGAACGGAAACGTACGGCTCCTCGTTACAACTATCAGCTATGGGAACCATCATCACCCACAAAAATAATCACATGACAGTAGTCGCTGGGCTACATCATTATATTATGTGTGGAATTAAAATGGTTTAGATAGTTAAGTGGATAGAAAACTCTGTTTCCACAATTTATTTTATTTTTAAACTCGGGAAGGATGTTCCGGTTCCTCTTAGCTTTAACTTGAAACGCTGTGGGGAAGATATTTCCAGACGGACCAAGTGCGTTTCCTGTTGTCCGTGAAGATATAATAGCCCGTCAACAAACAGCACCAAACCATACTGGAACATCGTTTTGTCACGGATTTAATCTTGTGTAAAGCTTCCATACAAACGTCTCTCCTCAGGTTGGCAGGGACAAAGTAGTGACGTTACACGGCTGTGGCTGGCATGCGTGGGCATTCTAGCGTGTAAAGTCACCGAGGATGTGGAGGACAGGCCCTGGTCCGAGTCTGAGGAGGGCAGCCAGACTCTGTTCCAGCACCCCACCTAAAGCTTCTCACACAAACTTCACTGCACGGCCCCACGCCGAGAAGCAGAGGCGCAGACGAGTGCGGGAGGAGGGCATCCTATCGAGTCAGCATGGTGTAAGTTAGAGGGAGGCAAATCAGAAACTTTATTGTCATTGTCACGAGAACAACGAAATGAAGAATGGTCCCCGATCATTGCATCATCCCTAGCAATATCAAAATATAAATAAAACAATAAAATTCAATAAATAAAATAGATAGAATACTTAAAATACTAATAAGATGTAACAGTAAAACATTCACATACATTCCCACACACATGCTTCAGGCCGTGCATAGATTAACACAGGAGTGGCGTGATGGACATTTTTTTGTAGTATTCAGATGTGTTATTGCAGTTGGATAACAGCTGTGTTTGAGTCTGTTAGTCCTTGCTCTGATTGCCCTGTACCGTCTGCCTGAGGGCAACAGTTCGAACAGGGAGCACTAAGGCTCTCTGCCAAATCCCCCAAGGAAAGAGTACTAGTGCGTTTGTGTGTATGTTTACAGATATACTGGCATCGTTGTGTTGATAATAACAATAATAATGTAATCGTTTAATGCTGCACTCATTAGTTACCTCTGCCTCCCATTCTACTTTTAAATACTCTAGGAACAACAAGTAGGCCTGCAGAGCGAGAGCGACGTGCTCCAATAGGCTGATATGGTGCTACAAGGTCATTGAGATAAGATGGGGCCTGATTATTTAAGACCTTGTATGTGAGGAGCAGGATTTTGAATTCTGGATTTAACAAGAAGCCAAAACAGGAGAAATCTGCTCTCTCTTTCTAGTCCCTGTCAGGACTCTTGCTGCAGCATTTTGGATCAGCTGAAGGCTTTTCAGTGAGTTTTTGGACATCCTGATAATAATGAATTACAGTCGTCCAGCCTGGAAGTAATAAATGCATGAACTAGTTTTTCAGCGTCACTCTGAGACAGGATATTTCTAACTTTAGAGATGTTGCACAAATGGAAGAAAGCAGTCTTACATATTTGTTTAATATGTGCGTTGAAGGACATGTCCTGGTCAAAAATGACTCCAAGGTTCCTCACAGCGTTACTGGAGCCCAAGGTAATGCCATCCAGAGTAAGAATCTGCTTAGAGACCATATTTCTAAGCTTTTCAGGGCCGAGTACAATAACCTCAGTTTGATCTGAAGTAAGAAGCAGAAAGTTAGCGGCCATCCATCTTTATGTCTTTAAATGATGCTTTCATTTATTAAAGTTATTCAAACCTGCACAGCCATCTGTGAAATCAGTGGCTGTTCGTGCTGGAAAATCTGTCCAATGTGTCTGAATGGAAACAATCATGCAAAGCAGAGTGGGCTAAAATTCCTCCACAGTGATGTGAAAGAGTCCTTGGCTGTTAACTCAAACACTCGATTGGACGTCTTGAGGGTAGCACTACCAGTTATTGGGTTTTGGGGACAATTACTTTACACACTGTTGTGTTTCAACCGTGTTGACTTGTGACTTGTTCAGTGCTGTGCTAATGCACTCCATGATGTCATAAATATAGTTATGAGAGATACGATAGCTGAAGCTGCCGGTTAGACACGCTCTGATGTTTCTGTTTGCAGAGTGCTGAAGGTAAAGCAGTAAAGTGGAGTGAGAAGCAGAAGATTGCTTACACTGCTCCGACACCTCCTGGGGCAAAGAAAGGTGACTCTCCTGTAACCTCTGCTGGCTCGGCTGTCTCTTCTCCTCACAGGCTCTGAAAGTCCTTCTTCTGTTTCCCTGCAGACACTAGCTTACCGTTCCCATCGTGTTACAGTCCGGAGTATGTGGAGTCCAGCTGGTATCAGTGGTGGGAGAAAGAGGGATTCTTCAGTCCTGAGCAACATGTAAACATGTGAACTTGTTAAATCATTACTGTTGCAGTTAAAATGAATTCACTTTAATGCAGTTTTTTTGCAGTTTCTATGAAACAAACTGAGTAAGTGGTTAATCAGCTAAGCTTTAATGCTAATAATAGCAAATAAATACTTTTTATTTAGTGATGCAGAAAATGGATGAACTGTTTGAGAGCACTGATCAGAAAACATACATTTGTATTTGTCACAGACAGTTACTTCTACTTTGGTCATATTTTCAGGCATCCAAAGTGACCTTTATGTCCTTTCTGACCTTGTCCTGCCGGCAGTGCGCTCTTTATTTCTGTAAAGCAGTTTGTTTTTTCTACAATAATTATTTTTATTGTAGAAAAAATATTGCTTTGCTTCTTCTGTCCCTTTGACAGGAGAAGGCAGGTTGCTGTGATGTCCTCCTGTGTTGTTTTTGTTTTTTGTTTTTCTCTCAGCAGGTGATGAGGCAGATATAAGTGGGTTTTTTTCTCCCTCCCTCTTCATCTCGAGTTTTTCCTCCTCTTCTCCCCAACTTCTCTGTCCCTCATCTTTCCCGTCCCTCAGTCCTGTCCGTTCTAATTGCAATAACTTAAAATAAATAAATAATAATAAAGGTCGAATAAAATATGACAATCATGCAGTAAAAGCCATAACGATCTATTTGGGAAAATAAATCTGTTGTGCATTTTTCTGGGCCTTCAGAGGATCACTGTGATTGTAAAAACAGAAAAGTGCGTCTTCCTGAGATGTGATCACACTGCAAGCCTGACCACCTCAGATTTGGTCAGAGTGATCTGATTGTATTCAAGTTATCCAGGTAAAGGTGGCACGACGAGGAGCAAAAGAGACATCAGTCTCAAAGGTCCACCTTAATGTTCAGTTTCATTTGAATCTGAACATGTTTTTTTAATCCTTAGAAGTCAAGTCAATATTTTCAATAATTAGAAAGTATACGTTACTAAAGCACGAGCGACAGCACTGCGAGATATTTGATTACAGCGAAGGAAAACGTTGTTCTGTAGAGCGAGTGTGCACACATGCACGCCAGTAACGTGTTTCCCTTCCTGCTCTCAGGAACGGTTGCCCCACGCTGTGGATCAGACCTTCTCTCTGTGTATTCCTCCACCAAACGTGACTGGTACTCTGCACCTGGGCCACGCTCTGACAGTAGCTGTAGAGGATGCGCTGGTTCGATGGTAACTATCAGCAGCAGAGCAGCATGTTGTCTTTGTTCTCTGAGCTCACGTGTTGATGGTTTGTATCCATCAGGAGACGGATGCAGGGCTGCAGAGTGCTGTGGGTGCCTGGATGTGACCATGCAGGTATCGCAACGCAGGTACGCGTGATGACGGTTTGGCTCACATGTTCTCAGGTGTCCCTCAGAGTAACATCAAAATATGGAAACTGCTAAAAATCACACATTTATATCGTGATAGTGGCACATGCTCAGTGCTGAGAGTGTCGATGTGCTCGTGGTTTAGACGGTGGTGGAGAGGAGACTGCTGAGGCAAACGGGGAAGCACAGACGAGACTTTACGAGGGACGAGTTTCTGGAGGAGGTGTGGAAGTGGAAGAATGAGTGAGTCTTCACATCTGGACTTCTGAGCACATCTGCTGTGTGGCCTGTTTGCTGAGTTTTGAGCCTCTGTTGCAGGAAAGGAGACGAGATCTACCACCAGCTGAGGAAGCTTGGAGCTTCTCTGGACTGGAGCAGACCCTGTTTCACCATGGACCCAGTAAGAGTGGAGTCAAACTGTACAAATAACTGCAGCAGCAGTACAAAGAGAGACGAATATGAAACTGTGGTGTGATGTAAGCACATACACCACATACACACGATGGGTAGAGATGAGTCATTCCCAGCGTCCCTGTTTCCAGTAAGGCAGATTTATTTATTTGTAGCCGTCTCTGCCTCCTCACCACGGCACACGCAGGCTCGTCTAAACAAGAAATCGCACCATCCTGTGGCCTCTCCAGGAAAATGAAAGTGCCGTAAGAATTGCAGAGTGAAACACTGAAGCTGAGCTGTAAAGCTGCAGTGGTGAATGGGGGAAAGTCCTTCAACTGTTTATCCTGCTTTTGTGATTTGATTTCAGGGTTTTAGCAGAGCTGTCACTGCAGCGTTTGTCCGACTGTGTGACTCTGGTCTAATTTATCGCTCAGAGGGTTTGGTCAGCTGGAGCTGTGCCCTGGAATCTGCCATCTCTGACATAGAGGTGAGACAGCTTTACATAAATGGATAGCAAATACAGCAAGTGGACAGAATAATAGAGACGGTAATGTGTCTTCTCCCCAACCTAAAGTTACTCGTGTCCAGGGGTCCAGACAGCTTTCAGATTGATTAACAGCTTGTATATAAGTGTCTTTTTTATATAAGAACGTGTACAAGGTTTGATTTTGCTTGTTCCTTAGCACATGGACGTTAATGTCATATCTAAAACTAAAGGTTATGGGAAGAACTCAGAGACCATGTGTGTGCTGAAAACAAACCTGCTCTTTGCCTCCACGTGAACAATAAAACCTTCAGCATGTGTTTGCATGTCTAATGCTACAGTCTGATAATGTGGAGCTCACATGAGCACTCGCTGTACGCTTTTTAGATGAGCTACAGAGCAGAGTGTGCCTCTGATATAATATCACTTGAACTCATCATCAGGTGGACTCGAAGGAGCTCTCCGGCCGGACCATGTTGTCTGTTCCTGGCTATGAACACAAGGTGGAGTTTGGATCGATGCTGAGCTTTGCGTACCCCGTAGAAGGCCACGGTGCGTGTCGGGACCGTCCTGGGACATGGTGTGTCCTGTATTTTGTACATTGATCCTCTTCTCTGTATTTTAGACACGGAGGTGGTGGTGTCCACCACCCGTCCAGAGACTATGCTGGGAGACGTGGCCATAGCTGTTCACCCTGATGATCCTCGATACCAGGCCAGTTGTTTATGTTAGATACTCTGGGAGTGTCTCAGTGGGAGTGTTTGACAATATTTCAGGACAAGCGACAATAAACAGTACAGGTCTGCTACACCGCTCAGTGTGTTGTAACATCAGAGAGCTGAAAACACGACGACTGTTCACAGAGAAAACTTTAAAAGCGCCGTAACACAACGGTGAGACACTACATCAGGGGTGGGGATGTCCAGGCCTCGAGGGCCGGTGTCCTGCAGGAGCCAACACAGCTGATTTAAATGAGCTCCTCAACATGTCCTGCAGTTCTCCAGAGGCCTGCTAATGAACTAATCGTGTGATTCAGGTGTGTTGACCCAGGGTGAGATCTAAACCTGCAGGACGCCGGCCCTCGAGGCCTGGGGTTGGACACCCCTGCACTGCAGCATCAGGAAGCCTGGAGGCCAAATGGACGAACTGCAGGCTGGAAGAGTGGAAACCACGCGAGCAGCGTGACGCTTGTTTAACGGAGCGTGTCTTTGCTTCTTCCAGACGGTTCATGGGAAGCACTGCAGGCATCCTTTCACCGACAGACTGTTACCCATCATCACTGATTCTATGGTGGACGTGGAGCTTGGAACTGGTGACGACCACACCTGACACCTGGCGTGACACTGTTCCTGTGGATGTGTTCAGCCCTCTGACCCGTGGTATCCGCCCACTTCCTGTTTGTCTTTTGCAGGTGCAGTGAAGGTGACTCCTGCTCATGACCACACAGACTTCGTCCTCTCACAGAGACACTCACTTCCACGCCTGACTGTGATTGCTGGCGATGGGACGATGACAGAGTCCTGTGGACAGTGGCTGGAGGTGCTGTGTTACCTGTTTGTGTACGTGTGTGAGTTTGTTGTGTGTTGTTGGTGCGGTTTGGTGTGTCTTTGGGTTTCACTGTTCTTTTTCTTTGTGAAGGGAGTGAAGCGTTTTGATGCCAGACAGCTGGTTGTGGATGCTCTGGTTGAGAAAAGACTGTTCAGAGGAAGAAAAGCTCATGCCATGAGTTTACCCGTCTGCAGGTACAGCAGCGCATGCACGCTCAACGTCTGAGTGTTTGCTCTAAAGGAACTGGATGGACCGTGTTGTGTGCAGAGTCTTTTCATTAGAGCGTTTTGTGCCAGCTGACACCACAGTACAGAGTTTGAACTGGTTTTTGTGTCGGTGCATCGATTAAAGGGAAAGCCTGAATGCTTGATCCCTCGCAGTGACCAGCTCAGAGGGCTCGGTTTTGCTTTTGGGGAATTTTGCCATCGTGGGTTAGCTCCACTTGTCCCCTCGGAGCAGAGGTCAGTAATTAATTTCCCACAAAGCCACAGACTGCTGTGAGGGGCGCACGAATATATCCTGATCTCTTTATATGAAGCTTATTAGCCCTCAGTCTCTCACGTGGTCCCGGACCCCAAATCAGTACAAAGCTGTCTATATGAGAACCTTATGATCACAGTTAATTCATCCATAGGACAGCAGGGGGCACTGCAGGACTTGATGCAGAGGAAACAGTGGAAATTGTAATAGTCTACATCAGGGGTGTCCAACTCTAGGCCTCGTGTCCTGCAGGTTGAGATGTGTCCTTGATCCAACTCAGCTGATTTAAATGAGCTCCTCAACATGTCCTGCAGTTCTCCAGAGGCCTGCTAATGAACTAATCGTGTGATTCAGGTGTGTTGACCCAGGGTGAGATCTAAAACCTGCAGGACACCGGCCCTCGAGGCCTGAAGGTCCCACCTCTTGTCAATATAGTCTCCAGATCTCGCCTATCAGGGATTTTGGACCAGTATAATAGCCACTACTCTTCATCACCATCATCAAAACACCAAATCAGAGAATTTGTTTAATTTTTTTAAAGGAGCGCTTCCACAGCTTTCCCATGACTTGAAATAATGCCAATGCGCACTGAAGTAGTTCTTTTTATGCCTTTCTTTCCTTCAATCTGTCACCTGTCTATAGCTTTGCTCGATCAGCCAAGAGAAACATTCAGTCCTCTTCAGAATAAATTGTTTAAACGAGTGAAGAGCGCAGCTGTCTGCCTCTTTACTTTATATCCATCACCAGATTTTTGAATGCTTCGCTTGTTTCCATGTACAAAGTCTTCAGTTTTATTTATACAGTCACCTCAAGGTTCTTTATACTGTAAGGTCGACCCTACAATACTACATGCAGAGAAAAACCCAACAATCATATGACCCCCTATGAGCAGCACTTTGGCAACAGTGGGAAGGAAAAAC